TTTCACCCTATCAACGGAGAATGTGGTAGTGGGATGGGAAAGTGGCATTGATCGGTGATTGTTGATCGCAGGTGCGGGAGCGCTGAAGTCCTCCTTTGCGTTTTTTTGTGCCACTCTTCGTGTATTCTTTATTCCTTGCAATTGTGGATTTACTGTTTCGTATTTGGTTGCTCCAATAGGGGTTAGAATGAGAATAGGGGCGATGGTAGGGAGTGTAGGAGGGAGCATTGAGTCTTGGTTACCACTTTCTCATTTCTAATGTGCACATCTCGCCTATTTTAGGTTTGTATTGAGCGATGTCTCGGGCGGTGCTCTGGTCGATTTGACGACAACGAACAGATACTAAAAAACAGGCAAGTTGATGTGTTACACAACTACTTTTCTACCGATTTGGATCGTCTTGGCTTCTAGGGCAGGTATCTCCCTCTCCTCCACTCTCAACTCTTTCATTTAAATGATGGGTACCGGTTTGCTTCCCAACAGTTGTCCATGTTCTCAAATGATGAATTATCACATCATCCCTTTTTTGATCCACAGAATTGTGCAATTCAAAACTGAAGGATTGCCAGTGATTGAGTACTACACGCAGAGGGGTCTTGTAACCCACATCGATGGGAGTAAGTCGATTGGGGAGGTCATCGACGCGGTCAAGGTTGTTCTGGATCCAATCATGCATTACCAAAATTAAGTGACGGAAAGACAATAGAGAAAGCGCCAAACGTATTTTGACATTTCAGTTCATATTATCTGTCTTGTTTTTTAAGAACGTCAAAAGTAATCGACACATCTCAATGGCTGTTTATCACATTTGCGGAGTATGGGGAGGCCTCAGACTACTGAGTTCTCAGCCACAAGGCATCATAGGATTTGGCGCGACCTGCGATATAGGGCAGGTCTGCGATGTGTACTGGCTTCTTACGTGCGAAGCAACTATTCTAGTCAGTTTCGCATCGACCTGCATGAGGTTGGGAGACGCCTGTTTTGAAGAGGGTGTCAAAGAGGTTAGGTGTTAATTTCCATAAATCTGGATTTAGAGCTGTGGGGTCTTAGTCATCCTGCAGCTTGTACTTTCTAGTGTGGCTTATAGCGAGTGCGGGTAAATGATTTCGCTACGTACTTAGAAAATCGACTCAGGAACGTAGCTTTTAGTTGTTGATGCCTGTGATGCTTTGTTTATGTGACTATCTGAGGTTTAGCGGTCACTTTAGGATTTGCATGGTCCTTGTGCTTGTGAGATGGTCTGTGGGTCATGCTCAGACCCATTTCCTCTGCCCTTTTCGGATTACACATATCCAAACTCACGTATTGCTTTCTTTCATCCTATGGGAGGTCTCGGGACACTACATGTACAACCTTAGCTAAAATCAAATCGTCTTGCTAACTTGACACAAAATTCGATGCAAGATCTGAAAATAGCACTTGTCGAGATATAAAAGCAAAAAATGGGCATTCAAACTAAAAATGTTCTTAAAATTTTTTAACAAAAGTGAGTTTAATCAATCGTTGTAAAATCTGTGCTAAGGGTAGTACGTTATTAGGTATTCCTTTTTATTGATAATTTATAATCAAGTATTTTGTTTAAATGGTTTAATCTAATGTAAGCTTACTTTACACTGATTGGGGGACTAGTTTTGGCCCTATAGGGCGCTGGCGTGGTTGCTTGCCCTGCTGGGTCACCAGTTCAAATAACCGACGGGGTTTTCATTAATAAGTTTTGCTTTGTAAATGTAAGTTCACACATTTTCCTTCCTTAGTATTTTAAGCGTGCGCTAGTTGGGGCGAAACTTTTTGGAGCTCTCATGGTCTTCAAGGATTATCTCATTCTTACCTATAGTGTTTTGGCTCATCTTCTTTTTCAGCTTTGGAGATGCAACCTGCATTCAGCTACATTTGTATTCTTGTTTTTCTTCTGATCCGTCGATCCAATGGAGACTGTGTGATGTTCGGAATGTGCAATGACAAACAATACTGCTTTGTCAATCAGCCACCTGTGTTTGTTCCAGGTGATAGTTTGAAGAAAATTTGTGGTGTTGACAGTCTAGTTCAGTGCTGCGATCAAGCTCAACTAAGAGTGTTGGAGGATAAGTTTAGTATGCTTGATTTCGTCCTTAAAAGGTGAGCTAACGAATACTTTTACTTTACTCTAAAATGCACTGTATTGAAATGTTTTTCGCTATCGCAAAACATAAGCTCCGATTTCTTAAAAGATGTCAGCGTTCCTCCCGCATGGCCAAGTTATTAAGATCCAGGCTGCAGTCTGATTCGCTTTTCTTCCCTTTGTCACTATGCCTACTTCCATAAATCAACATCAAACTAGAGTTTGTCGGGAGGTGACTGTAGACGTTTATGATGGGCTTTTTAACTATCCAAATCTTTTTTCTTATTAGAGATTTTCAATTTATTTATGGTAAAGACTGTCGAATATATAGTCATTCTGTAGAAGAATTCATTTTCTCTAAATTTATAGCATAAGCTCACCAGTTGTTCTTATCATGCGGAAAAATGTAGCGGTCCAAATGTGCATAATTTTTTTTGCCATTATTGATGCTTAGATTATTTAATGAAGTTGCTCCTCCTCTTAAATCGCTTCATTGTTCTTAACGGTTTTCCTTGCTTGGAGTCTTTTCTAGTTTACATAAAGTGGTCCTTTTTGACCTTCTTTTCGTTTGTCTGATTGTCGCGTGCAGTCTAATTTCTTACTTAAACTCTCCGATTGTAGTTCCAGCTTTTTGCCCGGCTCATTTCATTATTAGCGTCTTTTACTCGATTGAATCTTTTGCACTAGATTTGTCCAGGACCTGCAAATATGTCTTGTTTTTTTGGCAATAACTTCTATCATTTTGAAAATGTTTAGTCGTGTATAAGTTGGTGAATTGTCGGGGCCTAAGGTCCAGTGTACTTCTGTTAGTTGTGTTGTGGTATAATCTTAAAGCAAACTCATTTTTATAAGTGGTTGATTCCCCTCTAGAACTTGAGTGTAATACGAGCGAATTCTTTTATCTGATCTGGTTCTGCTTGTTCGCGTTTATTTGATAGTGCGGATGATTTGGTTTGCTACAATGGACTACGAGATATCTTCTGTGATATAGCCTGCAGTCCACACCAATCGGAAATAGTTAAGGTCACAAGTCATAATTCTACTGACGGCGCAGTCACTTCAATTGATTTCCTGTTCTCACGTAAAAAAAGTCAGGCCATCTTCG